CTCACAGTACATGTCATTCCTTACAGTCTAGCTCACTTCAAACATTATCCTTTCAAACAGTATACCTTGTTACCTAAAGCAATACTACAGCAAAAAAAGTAAACCTCGTAATTAAAGAAGAGGCCCTTCAGCCTGGCTATAATATAAGTTCTGTACATCCTGGGCAGGAAGGAATACGATACTCATTACAAGAGCCATCAATAACACCCACAAGTACAAATGGCAAGCCCAGAAAATAAGTTATTGCTAACAACTCTACAATGTCCCCTTGAATTACATTCAAGTTGTGTACATGCACAGGTATGCCAGGTGACTCAAAGCTCAATCATTTTTCATCTGTCCATGATGCAGTCACTTGAGCTCAGATAGGATACTCCTTAACTTGCTAAAGATGGTTGCACTTCAGCAGTATTCCAACACGAAGCAATGTGAGATGGAAGATACAAAGATTAGAATAGCACAGAGCTCCCAGCCATCAAGCTACCACAAAAAAGAGGGAATAAGGATCAAAAGGAAGCCACTGCACCTAAGCCACCATACTAGAATAAGCACATCATGTCCAGCTATGGGTTATATTGAGTGACAGACTGGAGGAAAAGCTACATCACCTTCCTTGACTCAACTGTGAGAACACTAATGCAACTGTGGATACCATCAGGCTTCAGAGCAGGTCAGGAGCTGTCTGTTGGTACCTGATGCAGAGGTCTGTTTCAGAATCTATAGGCTTAGAAGATGGTGACTCAGGACAGCACACAGCAAGACTGCTAAGATAGCAAAATGCAATAGCTTGGGCCACCAGGCTGCTCCAAGTTCACCTTTCAAGCATTTGGAATTTCTTGCATCAGTTCTCAAGTCTGACTGCTTCCTGGCAGAGTGGAAGGAGCTTGCTTTCCTTTGCTTCCCAAGCTGAAATTCTGCAGTGCCTTGCTTAGTACCACCAGAATCGGTTATCACACCACACCTCCTAAGGGGAAGTCTCTCATATTGACCCAAGCTCCATCAGCCTGACATGCAGATGCCTCTCTGGACATCAGCAACCATACGAGTTGCCAGAAGTACTCTCTTTCACTTCAAAGCTGTATCTTTGACCTGGATAGGATAGGCAAGTAAATAAGCATTTGCCTTGCAAGTATGGAACATCATTTCTCTGTAACAATAATGCTATTGCCAGGGAATAAATAGCTGCATACTAAGAGGATGTCCAAGGAAGATGTATACAGAACAAAGCCTAAATCACAAGCATAAATCTGTATAAAGATACCTGAGAGTAAGAAATGCATATCACTATAGACCCTGTAAGACCTGGCATCTCCATCAGATGATCAAACCTGCACAAGAGACTGCTATGATCGCAGGCTTTGGTAGGCACCAGATTCAGTAAGAGAGCACTACACTCTACTGACTGGTCAAAGGTACAAATTTTGCTTGCAAATCCAGCATCTGTCTGAAGGTCTTCCTTAGAGGGCAATGCACCAAGAGACAGATGCCAGAAGTTACTTTCAAATCTCTGAGGAAGTGCAGAACTCCAGAGACAGAATAAAGTTTTTGATACACATCTATACCTCACACAGAGCCAGACTGCCTCACAAATCACTGCCAGTGCTGGTTTAGCAAATGCATTGCCAGCTGCCTCTAAGGAAGGCTGAAGAGAGACAGGTTTGCAATAAAGCTCACCAATGACTACGAATAGTAACACAAGGGAAAGCTGACCAGCTGGTCAGTACATCTATCATCCTAACGAGCCAGTAATTCTTGATGCACAACAGCAACAATCCTTAATCAGATCAAAACTTTACTGCAAAGTGCCTCAGCCACTGCCTAGCAGCAAACAGGGAAAAACAGACATCCTTGACTAAACTACCCTTCCAGTTTCTAGCAGCCAGCAGTTCAAATGTATTTACTAAAGAACAGCTATTATTTAAAGAAGAAACACTCAAGTTGAGGTCCCTGTCATAAGTAAAGCAGGTATTTTTCCACCACAGGCAACTGTACAGGAGAACAGAAATACATTTCCTTCACACTTGATACCATTTCTCAAAGACAGGTATCAAAAATCTACTTCAAAATCTTGATTGGCTGCAATAAGCATCAATGGGAAAATTTACCGTAATTAACACTCTTTTCAGAAATGACAACTAGCTTCTCTTACCAGTTAAGAGAGAAAAAGGCCCTGTACAAGTCAGTGAGGAAGGCCTCTGGTCATTCTAGATGAGGTAAAGGAGCCTCAGGTCCCTACTATAAACACAAGTATCCTCCATACCAGCAGCAGACAGAGGGCACATCCCGCATCACCAACTGATCAGCAAAGTACTGACTGACTCATCACTCATCTTCCCTTTTGAAGAACGATGGAAAGGGGAACTAGGAAGACATGGTCCTCTGCCAATAAAGACCGGATGAAGAGGAGAAATGGCAGTGACTGTAAATCATACAGCAGTGTCACGTCTCCATGAAGCAACCAGCCACTACTGTCATTAAGTCAAGCTCTTTCAGCCCAGCACTGACAAACCATCACTGAGAGCAGACATTCTTGAACATCCAAAGCTTGCTAGAACCTACTAAGGGAACAGGCAAGCTTAGTCCACCAACTTCTCGAGCCTTTAAAGCAGACTTCCTTGCTGGTGTGTAATCTTCTCAAGCAGAAAAACAAGAAAGAATGTGTCCTGGGAACAGATCATGGTTTACACATGACAGAAAAGAAAGGCCAAGGAACTACTAAAATTACCCTGGGACAGGAAAAAAGTCAAAGATGGAAAAAGTTGCATTGCTATATAGTACAGAATCTGATTTCATTCTGCTTTACATTCTCAAGTGCTTGAACAAAAGGGAGGGAATGAAAAAGAATGCTTTCATACATTTTATGGAATTAAAATATGAAAACCAAACTTTTGTTTCAAGTGACATTTCCCAGGAAAATAAAAATAAAAAACTTGCTGAAAACAGAGTTCTTCAGTGAGTGACTAAAGAAAGTGATTCTTAAGGTGGCAAAAGAGAGGACCAGCACACTACTTACCTTTGCCACATGTAAATACAACATAAGGCAATTCAGTTCCTCAGTGGAAATATCAAAGCTTCCCACTTCCATACTTGGGTGAAGGACAAACTGAAGTTAGAGAAGAGACAGATCACCATTTAAGCTAGGGACTGTGCAGCCCTCTCAGGCATCTCTGAACTAGCAGAACGGACCACTGTATAGAACTAGAACTGAATCCACAAATATCAGTTGTCTAAGGTTATGCGTCTGCACAAATTCAAGTCACAGTTTCAAACAAGTCAGACTTCAAAAACACAAACACAGAGTAGAAGGAATACAGAGTAATTATATCATGGGTATAGAGCCAGGATGGACAAAACAGCAGACACAAAAGAGGCTGCCACACACTTACAGAAAAGAAATTATAAAGGTTGTGAAGGTGTTTCATTTCACAAAGCAAAGCCACTACTCAATTCCTGTTCCCTCCTTTGCTCACAGCTCATTATAACCAGGGCTGTCATTACCACTTTTAGGATATAAATTAGCAAACAGAAGTAGCAAGTATAACTATTATTACTACTTTTTCTATAGAGAACCTGTACATTTCCCAAGTCTATACACTTAATGTAACACAATTCTATAATTATAGTATCTTCCCAAAGGGTTAATTACAGGGGTGACACTGTTACTAAACTGAATAAAGAGGGGAAAAGAAAGTCCACATCCCACTTTGAGAAATACCAAGGCAAAAAGATTTTCACTTAGTAATAAAAATAGCATATACACATACCACTATATAATTAGGATAGGCAGAAGATCCTGCTGATAGGATGTGAAAACCAAAAAGGGAATAAACTACACGAAAGGTTAAAGTTAGTAAAAAAACTGCAGGAGGAAGGAAAGATAAAGGAGTCTGAGGCACATAGGTAGGAAAGACTGATACTAGCAGTTTCATCTGAAAAAAGAAACATTTTTATCCTCTTTAAATTAGACAAGAAAATGGCTTATTTCAAAACACTGTGCTAAAATTAATTATATCAACATTTGCATGGCTGTTCCAAGACAAAAAACTGATCTCTTGAATAGAAATCTCTATTTAAAATAGTCGTTTAAAAAAAGAAATATACAATCTTTGACACAAAATTGACAGATGCCACCTCATGAAAAAAAAAAAAAAAAAAGTCTTTTCCTAATGAAGTTAAATATGGACAAAATTTCACTTTGCAAATATTTTTGCTTTAAGAAATCAAAATTGAAAATTACTTATTGTAAGAAATAGTGCAGTTAAAAAATATTTGGAAGAGGGAATGTCCATCTATATATATGCTGTATTATAAATGTCTGTGTCATCACTGAGAGCAAGCGTGCTTATGAATCAATGCTACATAGTTTGCTCAACCCTGTGGGAAATATTTAAAGAACTAAAATTAACCAAATAAAACTAAATAATACAATATTGGTTTTAAAATGTGTGAGCATAAAGAAAAAGTTTGACACAAAGTAAGCAAAACAGATGCTTATTGCATAGATATACTTATGCTGATATAAAAGCAAGATCTGGTGTTGAAAATATTTTTACCTCATTCTGAAATGCAGTCACTGCTGCCACAGTACATTTAGTATAAATGCAAACAAAACTTATCAGATTTAAAAACAATACCCTTGATGTTATGCACTGAGACGATACTCTGTAAATCAGTTTATTTCCCATGTAGTGGACAAATTCAGTCAATGTAATAGTTTTTCTGCATGTGACTAGTAAAATCAAAGTGCTTACTTTCCCAGAGGAAATGTGTTCACTGTGAGAATACTGGGTCTTGCAATACCACATAAAGCTTTCAATTTAGTTAGTTTCAAGGTTAGCTTTAGAAATTTGGAACTGTTAATATCAGTTTCAAGGTTAGTTTTAGAAATTTGGAACTGTTAACATCACGGTCTTTGGCCATTAATAACGACTACATTACAAATAGCTAAAGAGCATTTATATGTGGAAGTGGAACAGTACAACAGCTCAATTAAGGAAAAAAGTTTCAGTGCACTTTGCACATTTTGGCCAACATGCTACATTGCCCTTTTTGTGTACAAAGTGAACTTAAGGATTTCCACTGTAAGGGAGAAATAACTTGGCAAGCAAAACACTGTGTCAAGGTGCCCTTTTTTTCCTTATGACTTGGACATTTTAAGACAGAAGCTTTGCAAGACATTACACAATTCATTGCTTTTATTATTAAATGTGAAAGTCTGATTTGTTACATTGTCACATTGCTAGTCAGAAATGCTTCAGTGATGAAGAAAGTCAATGCTGGGTCAACCCAAGTCCTCATTCTACAACATCAGTTTACAAAGAAATCATAGTAATGTTCAACACACCCAACACAACATTCCTTGCTTTCTTCAGAGAAAAGTCCCATCATTCTTCCTCTAGTGGGTATGTTACTACATAAATTAGAAAAATTTTTTTGGACAACACATCCCCAAATTTTCATGAGATCAAAATGGGCTTTTACAGATGATGGAAGTCTTCACACATCATCATCATCTGATGTATCACTGCTGCTCGTCTCAGAATCGTCATTCTCCAGAGCAGGTTTGAAAGTGCTGTTTTTCCAAGGGCTAAACTTAAAATCACAGATGAGGCCATTTTTCAAAATGCCATTTTTCCGAAGGCCATTTTTTTGTAACTGAAATGAGAAAAAAAGATGTACTTAGAGAATGAAAAAGCTAAACACAACAATCTGTTGCATTTCAATGTTCTCTACATCTTCTTCTCTGGGTTACATCAGAACCACAGCACTATGTTTTCATATATACACACAAGGGAAAACCCTCCTCAGAGCCTTCACTTCTGGGCCAGCCACCTGTTTCCAAGAGCCTCCAACTGTGCTAAGCTCCTGCAGTCAACAAGAGCTTACCCTCTTCTCACCCACTTCCTCAGACATCTTGCCCCAGTGATCCCTCCTCCTACACTGTCTCTCCTGTGATGCAGTCCCTTCTTCCACAGTCCAGCAAACATCTGTGCTAAGAAAGGCAGGGTCTGCAGTAAGGAAGGGGCCCAGAAGAAAAGAAGCGGCAGGGAGGAATGGATATCCCAATCTGTCTACCTGATGCAGCTGGAAAGTCAAAAACACCCAAGAGAAAGGAAACAACTGATTCTACAACAAGAAAGGAATTACTGCATTTCCACATATAGTGCAGAAGGTGGGCAATAAGCTAAGCATTTAAGAGTTTAATATTCCAAATGCTCACGTGTGGCTAGATTTATGGAAATATCGATGTTCAGATTTAACAGTGCTCAAGGTTGTCCCTTTCAGCTTCTCCTCACTGAGCTTATCAGGAATACACAATACTCCTTATTTAAAAAAAAAAAAAAAAAAATCAAGCACAGATTGGCTTGTCAGACTTGTTAACAGTGAATTATGCATCTCTCAATTTCCAACAGAGAAAATCCAGATTTTGGAGAACTAAAGAAACTGCCTAAAAACCTTGAAAGAAAATTACCTTTCCTCAGGCTAAGATGAGGAGCTGGAAAACCTGTGCAATTCTACTCCCAGAAATGCTGAAACTACTCAGAAGCACTCCCTTAACCTTCCCTTGATATTTTGAGAATAGGTTTTACTTAAAATAAACACTGGTCCCCTATCTTTTTAAAGTAACTATTCTCCTAAAAGCACAATATTGAAATGATACTGAAATGGCAACATCCCTAAGCATCAAAACTAATGCAGATCCTCCTCTAAGGTAGGCATTTAGGCTAGCCAACTACAAGTTCATAATGGAACATTAACTTAATGTTACCTGCTCACTAATGACTTGGAACTCCCTCATCTCATCCTCTGTTAGTGGAGCACATGTTTCATCATTTTCACTGTCTTCCTGCCAGCCCATCTCTTTTAACAACCTTTAAATTAAAAGGGACAACATTAAGAAATTTGATACACACACTCTGACATTTCAAGCTCTGCCTATATGTGTAAAGATCTGTAACAAATTGATTAATCAGTATATAATTTTTTTAAACTCTTACATACAAGTAGGTTAAATGCCTTACAAAATATATGTAAAGCACAGAAGTTGAGAAGATCCTTCACAGATGACCCTGTTTTACCATGTGGTAAAAACTGTACATTCATTTTAAGGCCAGAAATCTGTGTTACGTGGAAAAGTAAGAATGCATTTCCTTTGCATAAGTGCTCTTGCAGAGCAGCAGTGTACCCCCTTTTAAGTGGTATGAAGAGACAAAGACACATACTGAGGGAATCTGCAAGTTTTCCTGGATAACAGAGCAGCCATGAAGAACACTGGTGGTGTCTCTCCATGGGAACCAATTCAGGATGCAATAGCCTCATATAGTTGTTTTCTAGCACATGCTAATGTCAAAGCCATGACAGGCTTCTTTGCAACCGAGTCCCACCCAATGGCAGATGCTGGTATTTCAGCACAGACTACAACTAGGTATGAGTGTTGGGATGAGGGGAGGAAAAGAAGCAAGACAGATTCCTCTCATGACTAAGCTTGAGGTACCCAAAGATGCAATAATCAATGTGTTTTAGTGAGTGCCAGAGGTAGGATAGCAGTATCTGAGCAGGAAGAAAGTAGTTTTACATGTGAAGACGCTGTGAAAACGGGGTATTTGAGGGAGAAGACACCATGACATTTAACAATGAAGGCAGTAAGTTCTCTTGCTGCCAAGTTTTTGTCAAAAGGATTAGCACCTTCTTCAGGCAAACCATGTGCCCGTTGACCTTACACATTAAAGGAGGTTAAAGCTATTTCACAAAAAATAAAGATGTTTCTAAAGTATATACCAGAACTGACACAAAAAACTGACTCTGATCTGAAGAATGGTAAGTAGATTAATACAGGGAAGTAAGACTAACTCACAGTTGATGTAATGTGTTAGGTGCTTCATTTAGCCAGATGTCAGCAGAAAATGCCCTTCAATGTAACCCTCCCCACAAAGACTCTAGGTCCCAATACAATGGATGAGCATTGGGCAAACTTGCAGGTGACCAATGACACCAATGACTGTTGTTAAAACAATAATAAAAGCCTGGAATTGTAGCAGGAAAAGAGGAGAACAACACTACTCTTTAAAAAAATCAGTTAAAATGAGAATAACAGAAATGGAACAGGAGAATAACAGAAATTGAAATTACATCCTCTGTAGTATTTGGACCAAACTGGATAAGGTGACAGCCAGGAACAATTAAATTCTCAGGAAGCAGTAGAAATAACACCTAAGTCACCCAAAACTCTATTTTAAGATAATACATGTATTTGTACAGACATACAGAAAAAAGACTCGCAATGCCAAATGCAGTTCAATGATAGTTGTATTTTTGGCAACAGTAATCTGAATCATAAAGTTTTACTGCAAACAAGTTAAGAAGTTAACAGCATTATGTACAATGAAGTGAATAGTTACAGAGTTCCTGTTAATGTAAATAAAATTTAGGGCAATGGCTAATTAACTTTTAAGCAACACTGTCTAAATTAGCAGGACCACTGTCCCTTTAAAGTGGCACTAGGCTTCTAGAATGGTTAAAAGTGTAAACCACATTAAAAAAATTAAACTTCAGATTAGCAGACTTGACACTGACGGAATGGCTGTATGTTGGAAACCTCCCCAGCAGAAGGGAAGCCCAAGATATATTTTGTACAAGGTGTGCCAATACTGTTACTAGGTATGCACAAGTCTCCTATGAGTTAAGCTGATCACGTCAAGTCCAATTTACCACAAAAAGGCTTACCATAACATCTGTCCACATGCATGCCGAGGTCACAGCCAAAGGGCTGGGACAGTAAGGAGACACAGCCCCTCTGGGATAACACAAAGGAAAGACACTTGGCCAGAAACCCTGTGAAGGCCTTTCAAAGTCAATTCAAATTTGAATTGAAAAATGAGAGTTAGATTTGACTCCTGTCTTCTAGTCAAAGAAGCAGCAGCCTCTAGTGGTCAAAGTTTTCTGTCTTCATAACCAATGGTGGGAGAAAAGGAACAGAACAGGATGCATTTCACTTTTCATACTCACGAGGGATAAGAGGTCACGAAAGTCTCCTCTGCAGGTACTACAAAAGGGAAAGCCCTCTAGTCCAATGTATAGGTAGAATTTATCACTAAAAAAAAACCCCCAACCCTTTGTAATCTATAGCTGCAACTCTGTAGTTGGCAGAAACTGTAACAATCTGACAGAGCTCATTACAAGCTCATCTCCAGACTCCTGACTTTGCAACAGCACCATCCTCATCTCTACCAGTTGCTACTGCAGTTACTTCATAGAATCATAGAATGGTTTGGATTGGAAGGGACCTTAAAGATCATCTAGTTCCAACCCCCCTGCCATCAGCAGGGACACCTTCCACTAGACCAGGTTGCTCAAAGCCTCATCCAGCCTGGCCTTAAACACTTCCAGGGAGGGGGCATCTACAACTTCGATGAGATAGCAGAATTGTTTCAATCCTTTTTTGAAGTTACTTTCTCCCTTTCCAGTGCATTGTCACTAACAAGTGTCAACCAGTCAGCTACAGAAATAATTAATTACTTTACTAATGATGAAAAAACTCATTGGAGTTTTACATAAGATGCAGCATTTAAAGTACTGTTAATACAAAAAGCAATTACATGCATTGTTTCTCCTAGACATGCAAATCAAAATCAGAGGGATGAAGACACTGCGCAGTTTGCTTTATTTCCTTATAAGGAAATACATAAAATTTTTAGTAAAGTAAGTTTCAATCAGTACACAAGTCTAGTACAAACAAAGTATATTCCATGTTAAATTAGTACATGTCTAGAAGTTAAACTTTGACAGTATTCATTAAACATTTTATGTGTTCTCAGTTTTCAGATTCTAACTTCTGAACTAGTAAGAATTTATCACATGCTCACTTACCACAAAGGAACACTCTTTATATTATATAAAGTACATACCTATGCTCTGCCTCAAGTGAGCTTGAAAGAATATCTGCCTGAGGGAAAGCTGAAGACTGAATAATCTGTTGAGATGTAACTGAAGCATTGCCATTCTCCTGCGGAATTTCATTTTCAAAGTTTCGGTTTATATCTCTCTCATGATGAGGACTGTTGCTGTTATGCAAGTTAAAGGACTCATCATCCTGTTAAAAATATTTATATATTACAAAGTTTAAAAGTAAATTCTAATCACAAGTAAATGTCTGCAAGTGTTGCAATTCAATTATTCCAGCTGATTCAAATTGAGTTTAAATGGAGACACTCTATATTACTTCAGGAGTAATGCTGTTCATACTTCTAGAGTTTGCAATACCCGGATACTACACAAATCTTAAATTATGCCACTGATCAAACAGTGTAGAAAGCAACTCCCATGCTCCACCTCAAACTTTTTTTTACAAAGCTTCAAACATGCCTTAAAATTCAAACTTATTTAAGCTGCCTTTCATACTTACAGAAATAAGAGGTTATCTGGTGATCTCACGAACAGTGTTCCTAATTAAGTATCAGAGCCATGTGTGTCAGAAGTTTGAAAGCATAAAAGTTCTCAAGTTTACTTAGTGTAAGGGGCAGGTCACAGCCACGATACCTCAACCAGCAAATTAATCTGTCACAAGTTCAGAAAGACTGGATACTCCTCTTTCAATTCAGATAACTTCTCCTCTAACACATGCACTCACCACAGCTTCTCAGGATGTTGTTAACAGGAAATGTAACTTACTAGACGTGAAATAAGAATTAGGAAGAAAGTTTATTTAGAAAGCAGACTGTTCGGGTTCACTAAATTTTAAAAGCTCTTTAATCCTATAAACCAGAGACATTTCCTTTTATTCTACTCATTCTGCAACCTGTAATTCTTATTTAGTAATAAGCCAGATAGCCTCAGAAGTCTTACCAACTGTAAAAACAAAGAGGAAGAGTACAATCGTCATCTAGTTAACACCCTCTTGACAACAAAATCCCTAAACCGGGCATATAACAGCATTATCCAAAAAAGGAGGCAATCACTCAACCAGCCAGTCCTGTACTTGTAAGAAACTGTACTTCACAGTCCAGTATCAAGATCATCATTATCATTTCCCTCCCACTCACAGTGTTGTCTCCTTCCAGAAATTTTAGAATATTCGGCAAGAATTTCTTAAGAACAAGTATCCCAGTAAACATACATTCAGCTGTTAAACTGTATGCCTGAAGAATGCATCTCAGATTATCAAGCAAAATTTATTTAAAAACCCCAATTTTAATACATATAGGGCAAAATAGCTTCTTTTAAGCATGATTCAGCTGCTGATTCTGATTTGCCTTGTTACTTCAGAGGTGAAATCTGTTACTGCATGCCTTAAAATTCCATCAACAGGATCATGTTGTAGAAGACTGATGTGCAGTTATCTCCCCATTCACTCTGTTGCACACCACGTCTTCTACTGATGACCATTAAAAGCAATGTTGACAGTAGTTACACAATTTAAAATCTTTTCACAGCTGTTAGTGAAAGAGCAATGGCAGGGAAAAGGAAGCATGCACATACCAACCACTGCTCCAAGCTACATGTTACATATGCCTGTCCAAGGACATTACAACTTCTACTACTAAAATGCCCTTTAAAAAAAAAA